GCAAGCTTGGTGAAGACACCGCCGCCGGTCCGTAAGCACAGGGCCCGTATGCTGCGGGCGGCGTCCAAATCCAATGCGCACTATACCCTATGATCCTATGGCTCCGTTGAGCGTGTAGCGAAGTCTGGCTGTGCCGTCCTTTCGTTTGGGGCCAGACAGGCACCCGTGAGGTGGGGTGGGTGGCGGCTCGCTGGCGTGCGGCCACGGGGCGGAGCGCCTGGCCATGGAAATGGGCTTCAACGAGCGCCTGCTGCACCTACCGCCCACATCCAGCAGGCGAGGGACGACTGTGTTTACGAACCCGCTGCCACTCCTCAGTGCATTTTAAACGGGACCCGAGCAGAGTAACGGACGGCGTGCTTTGCCGCATACAGAGCTCAACCTTAAGCCTGATTCGTTGATGCGTGCGCCTGCCTATTGGTTATTTTTTTTTTACACGCTGGCGTCTCCCACAGCGAGGTGGCGGAGGAGTTTGCGAAAGAAGTGCTGGGGGCGCCTCGGGGTGTGCCAGTGTGAATCGCGGATGCCATTGCCTCTGTCGGGCGCTGCGGAACACCAAGCGAGGAGGCAAAAGAGCCCCCTCACGATCCAACCCAGCGTGAGCGTCTCGTCGGGAGGTCAAGAATTTCCAAAAACGGCCCCGTGGTCGCGTGCAGGAGAAACAGTGCTGGTGCAACGTCGCAAAGGCACATTGCGTCACTCCTGTTGGTTGCGCCGTGTCCTAACGAGGTCGGTGGTGCCCGCCGCCCCCATCGTAGAGGAGCCCCCCCCCCTCAGCAGGCTGTTCCCCCGGCAGTCCGAGCGGACCGGGAGTTGTTGCACCAGTCCTCCACATGGTATATATGTCGGGCTGTTGCCGGCTCAGGAGCACATGCTAAACCCCAATGGCGTCAGCGAGGCTCCGACTCTGTGGACGACAAAAGAGGAGCTGGCGACCCGTGCGTTGGGCAGGCGATGGGGAACCGTTTTGAGTTGGAGCACGGCGCAGCATGAAGCACGCCGGATCCTGATGCCGCAAGAGGTTTTAGAGGTGCCCGCAGCACAGCTTCGCCAACCCCGGCACCTCCGACAACTCCCCGGTGGCTGCTGCGGGAGCGTTTCGTCCAGCACGCCCTTGCCCCTCGTCGCCTGACTCGCGGCGGGCGCTATAGAATACAAACAAGTATGCGAGGCCAGCCGCGTAGATGAATACGCGTTCTGACGGTGTGGCCGCTGGGGCGGGCCGGGGTTGGCGCTAGAGAACTCCGGCATCGTAGTCCCGCCTTGTGTTTCCCGAAGGCGCAGCAGGCATTTGTGGCGGTCGGAGGGGCACTGCGAGCTCATTAGGACGGCCCCGCCCACCATTCCGACCACACCGCGACCGAGAGGGGTTCTTACATTCTGAGTTGCCACCGACCAGGGCGCCTCCAACATCTATATTACGTAGTGGAGTGTCGCTCCGGTGGGCGGTGCGACGCGCGAGGGGGAACGCACTATTGCAGAGATCCCCCACCCCCCCCCGCAAAGGGCGCCCGCACACACCTTCTCACAGTGTGCGGCGCGCTGTTTGAACCCCGCCCGAGGTTATTTGACCCCACCCAATGACAACACCCCCACCTAAAAAAAAAAAAACAATTGCGGTCGCGAAAGGGCGCAGAGGAATCCACACCAGGGGTTTTAGGTTGGCAAGATGCGGCGCCCGAACTGCCCCTCTACCACTGCTGTCGGGCGAGTGTTTGGAGCCAACGCTAACAGATTACACGGCAAGGGGGTGCAAGGTGGAGAAACAAGCCGTGGTTTCGCCGCGGCCCGAGTGAGGAGGCGCCGGGGCACATTTTATTCTGCTGCGCGTCTCTTGCGGCCTGGCAGCGCAAATTAGGCTTGGAGAGATTGGGGGTGCCCGAGCGTTGCGTTGTTTGGCCGCTGGCTCGGTTCCTTTGCGGGGTGCTCGGTCACCCAAACCCTGGTTTGCCCACAGCCGGCAACGACGCGGACGGCGGCGCCAGCCTGCTGGGGGAGAGAGCTCCTTTTAGTTTGCTGCTTTAATAGTTTGTCTTGCTTTGTGTTGGCTTCTTCTGTTTTATCGCTTTTGGCACAACGTGCCTCAAAAATCCCAAATCCCAAATTGCACTTCCTCCGCCTTCCCCACTTTTCTAAGGGGAGGCGACTCCGGCAGGGGGGCTCGGATTCAACGTCTAAATTCTCGCACAAAGTCGTAAATGGCGCCGACGCAATTCCCTCTGGAGGGTGGTGGAGCCTCCCACGCAAACGCAAAACGGTTACAGCAGCAACAGAAAAACTTTTCAGTGGATTTGCATAATAACATTTTG